TAAGGTACGTACTTTAGTGTGCATGTGTGTCTCACGTGGATTGAAGTGGAGATTGGAGATGCAGAGCCGTTGAATTTACAACATTGTAGGCACTTGCAACGAAGGTGGTTTCTTTCACAGGAGATTCACGCCAACCATAGTGAAGAGGAGATAAAGGCAGTTGAAACACGTGTGAGTTCAGAATGGAGCAGTTGAGAAGCGGTTTCACAGAGCGTGAAGACTTCGAATATGATTTTAGATAAAATCATCGAAGCAAGGAGAGTGGAAAAGAAAAAACCAAACATCAACACAAAACAATTCTGTTCCAAATTTATATTTTATATGTAACTCCTTTGCGAAGCTCTCCTTCCAGGAAGATCTCCATAGTCGTAGCAGTAGTCGTAGTCGCGGAGCTCTGCACATGAATCTCCATAGGAGTAGTTTTAACTAGGTCTGGGAAACAGTCCGGTTCGGTTAAATTGGACCAGATTAACCCTATTTTTCACAATTGTTTTGAACAAACCCACGACCGAAGATGTGATTAGATGGGATTCGGTTTTGACTGTGACTGTATTGGATCTGGTCCATTTTTAACTCAAAAACTGGATTGTTATTAATGCCTCTCAAAACGCCCGCATTTGAGGACAAATTGGATAAATAATTAAAAAAAAAAGAACAGAAGAAAGGCCCTCATCTCTCTGCTTCCTCCACTTTGCGACCCTGTCTCCTTCATTTTCTGTATTTGTTTCTCTATTCTTATTTCTTTTTCTCCCATCCACCTCTTCTTCTTCTTCTTCTCTTCGATGAAGCAAGCAAGTTGCCCACTTGCTATGTCAGATCCGTCTTACGTTTGCATTGTGAGCATCACCGTCTTCGTCGCCCAGATATGCCTCAGCATACGGAGAGGAGAAGATGACGATTTACAGACCAAGGAGGGTGTTGGGAACCAGAAAGGCGGTGAGTGGTCGAGTGGGGAGACGACGATTGGAGAGGACAGTCATCGCCGCTGTGCTTGCTTCTTCGTCACCGTGAGGTCAGGTGAGGCCGAGAGAGATGGACAAATCGTCGTCGTGCTTGCTTCGTCGTCATCGTGAGTTGAGGGTAAGGCTGAGAGATTTTGGTTTTGTGGGTGTTTGTGTAAGGGGATTTGGGAGTGGCAGAGAGATGGGGGAGAGAGAGGTCGTTCGTCGCTGGGAGTGAAAGGGAAGGGAATAGGAGATTGAATTGAGAGGAAATGGGGAACTGGGAATTGGGTTAGGGGGACTTGGAGTGGACTGGGTGAGAGAGGGAGTAGGCTTGGCATGTGCATGGGCTGGGGTAGGAGCAGGCTTGGCGTGGGGCAGGCTGGGCTGGCTAAAATAGGTTTTAATTTTTACAACCCAGTTTTTTCGGTTTTAACCGGATCAGACCGGCCCTACTAACCCTAAAGTTGTAAACTGGATTGGGTTAAAGGATATCCGGTTTCCAGTCACAACCGAACCAGTTTTAACTCGCCGATTTTTGGTTTGACTAGAAAACTGGAACCGAATTTCCAGCCCTAGTTTTAAAGTAGATTCTCCCAAAAACTCAAACACGCTCGTTCGAACATTGTTCGGAGAGGTAAGAACCTTATTAACGGTCGTCTTGGTTAAAACTCAGTGGTGCATCGATTAAATCAACATCGTCCAAAATAATTTGGCACGCCCGACGGTGGATATTTGACGGTTCTGCAAAAGTTTTCATAGTCGTAGCAGTGGTCGTAGTCGCTGAGCTCTCCATAGGAATCTCTATAGGAGTAGTTTTAACTAGAACTGGGAAACAATCCAGTCCGGTTAAATTGGACCAGATTTGCCCAATTTTTTACACCCGTTTTGAACAAATCCACGACCGAAGATGTGATTGGATGGGGACCGCGACTGGATTGGATCTGGTCCGGTTTTAACCCAAAAACCGAATTTTTATTAATGCCTCTGAAAACGCCCGCATTTGAAGACAAATTGGATACTTTTTTTAAAAAAAAAGAACAAAAAAGGCCCTCATCTCTCTGCTTCCTCCACTTCGCGACCCTGTCTCCTTCATTTTCTAGATCTGCTTCTCTGTTCTTCTTTCTCTTTCTTCCATATGCCTCTTCTTCTTCGATGAGGCAAGCAGGTTGCCCACTTGCTATGTCAGATCCGCCTTACGCCTGTGATGTGAGCATCGTCGTCTACGTCGCCCAGATATGCCTCGATATGCGGAGAATAGAAGATGACGATTTAAAGACCAGGGAGGGTGTTGGGAACCAGAAAGGCGGCGAGTGGACGGGTGGGGAGACGGCGATTGAAGAGGACAGTCATCGCCGTTGTGCTTGGTTCTTCATCACCGTGAGGTGAGGTGAGGTGAGGCCGAGAGAGATGGACCAATCGTCGTCGTGCTTGCTTCGTCTTCATCATGAGTTGAGGGTAAGGCTGAAATATTGTGGTTTTGTGGGTGTTTGTGTGAGGGGATTTGAGAGTGGCAGAGAGAGGTCATCCGTAGCTGGGAGTGGGAAGGGAAGGGAATAGGAGATTGAATTGAGAGGAAGTGGGGAATTGGGTTAGGGTTAGGGGGACTTGAAGTGGGCTAGGGTGAGAGGGAGTAGGCTTGGCGTGGGGCAGGCTGGGCTGGCTAAGATAGGTTTTAATTTTTATAAGCTGGTTTTTTCGGTTTTAAACGGATTGGCCCGGGCCTACTAACCCTAAAGTTGTAAATTGGATTGGGTTAAAGAATATCCGGTTTCCGATCACAACCGAAACGGTTTTAACTTATCGGTTTTTGGTTTGACCGGAAAACTGGAACCGAATTCTCAACCATAGTTTTAACGTAGATCCCCCCCAAAAGCTCAAACACGCTCTTTCGAACATTGTTCGGAGAGGTAAGAACCTTAGTAACACCGTCTTGGTTAAAAAGTCAGTGATGCATCGACCAAAATCAACACCGACGGTGGATATTTGACAATTCTGCAAAAGTTTCCAACGCAAAACAATCAAATCATCATCGCCCGAAACAATTTGACACGCCTGGTGGTGGATATTTCGTTTCGCGCGAAACACATATATATGACGTGTAATAAAAATGTCATTCATCGCTTTCCATTCTTTTTTTTATTCAATGTGATCATATATGAAACTAACCGATGGGTATATTTGTTCAACATAATAAAAGTTTTGTGCTATTTTATTGTATTTAAAATATTTTTAGCTATTTTTGTCCACAACTTCAATGGTCTGAATATTTTTCGGTATTATGAACATACATGACTTTATTGTTATGCTTTAAATGTTTGTGTCCATATTCTTATTGGGCGAAAGTTATGTGAACATTTTGATAAATTATAAAATTAATCTTCCTAGGTAGTTCTATATCCTACAACGAAATTGACTTTCCGAAGGTGATTTCTTCAAGTCAAGTCAAGTCAACTAGCTAGCTGGATTAATGTTTAACTTTCTTTCAGCTTCTAAAATTCGTACTCTAATAATGAAGCACCATGTCCTTACTCCAAATGAAACATCCCATGTGGTTACCATTATCAATCTCTTTATATATTAATGAAGTGATTAGCATACTGTTAGAGATGACCTCTTCCTTCTTAGGCATAATTCCATGTGCGGTTAGCTGCTGTATTCGCCTAAATAATTGGTCAATTGTTTCGAGAACTAAGCTCAAGAGAATCGACAGTTAATTAAATAAAGGAGCAGTGTCCTGATTTAATTTTATTGGGGCTCTGGAAAAGCAAATTTGGCATATGCGGTACACTATTAAGTATTATCATATATCACACATATTTTCTGAGTATTTATGAAAACGTCTTGATAGACGTTCAGAAATGCATATGATTAATAATCATTAGAAAGAAAAACGCATGAGTGAAAATGCATGATCCATTTGTATTCTAGGCTATATCATTGTCATATTATATGAGCAAATATCAGCAAATAATATTTACAATTTGAATGTTATAGTTTAGTTGGAGAATAGAGTATATGATACAATCATATACATCAAATTGATCAAGAGTGTACCATAGATATGAGATAAAATTTTTGAGATAAAATTTTCAGAACACATGTCAATCTCCTTTAACAAATACAAAACCCAAGTGACTTTCCTATCCCATACATATGTGTTGATCAAACCAATTTTTTCACTTTTTTTTTGTTCTGGCTCATTTAGTAGCAATTTAGTTGCACCCAATTAGAAAAGATAATACTAGGCAGTAGGGCTGGTTATTTGGTCCGAGTTTTTTGGTTTTACCCGAAATTGGACCGTATAACCCGGACTGGGACCGGATAGTAAACAATCCAATCCAATTTTTGGGCTTAGATTTGAGGTAAAAAACCGTTCTAGACCGGATCGAAAACTGGATAAATACCGGATAAGAGAGCTCAACACCCAAAACTTAAGGGTAATTTGCATAAACGGTGACAAACCTTTGCACTTAGCACAAAACTTAACCAACTCCTCACCCTTTCAGGCCTTAGGCCACTAAAATCCCCACAAGCTCAATATAAAATCAAGATCGAATTGACCGGACCGGATCAAGATCGGACTGTATCCAAACCAATCTTTGGTCCTTATATTTACAAAAAGACCGGACTGGACCGATCAATTTGGGCCAATTTAACTGGACCGGACCGTATAGCCAACCCTACTAGGTAGGCGTTAGTCATTCTTTTTACTCCTTTTCGTTTGAAATAAATAATAAATTAGCCAATTGATTAGCAAATACGACAGTTTGGCCGAGTGGTCTAAGGCGCCAGATTTAGGCTCTGGTCCGAAAGGGCGTGGGTTCAAATCCCACAGCTGTCACTTTTTTCCCGTGTTTATCCCTTTCCTCCAACCGCTGCAGATATGGACCCGAGAATCCAAACAGAATCATATAACAACGCGCGTTCTCCACTTCACAATCTGCAATTCTGCATTAGTTTTCTTTTGCCAACTTGCATGCCTAGTGGCCGTAAGATTCCAAATACTAGCACGTAAACGTATTACCACTACACTACGTCCTCATTCGGCGGTAGCCGCCGACATGGCCTCATCATAAACCCATGACTACTGCAGAACTTGGAGGACCCAGCAGTCTCTTTGATTGCTGCATTTACAATTCATACAAGTTATCCAAACAAGCAAAGTGGATCAAAATATCCTAGTACGACGCGGATATGGCTGTCCACCACCAAATCGCCATTGCTACACCAAACCAGCAAGTAGCACAGCACATTCCCACAATTTCTCAAGTCAAATACTTTTTCCCGGCCGCACTGCGCTTGCACGGGTTTTTTTAATATAATTACAGCCCACAATAGTACAGTACAACAACTGGGTTTCCCATTGATGAAGTTAAGTACTTAACATCATCCCGTGACTTAGAGAAGTCAGTCAACGTCAACTCCTCTTCTACAATATTCCCACTACGTAATCAGCAGCTTCATTTATTAATACTCTACTTTCTACTCATTCCACTTCTCACAAACGAACTCTCATCAATCACACAACTCGAGAGGAAAAAAAGAGAAGGGGGAAAAAAATGGAGTCTCAAAAGATGGCTCTGCCTGTAACGTTGCTGCTTTGTTTACTTTTGATGGTCAACACTGTTCTCTCAGCAACAAGACCAACCTCGGCAGCTGCAGAGGGTCAAGCCATGAGGGCATTCAGAAAAGGCATTACTGCTGACCCATTGGGGGCACTTGCAGACTGGAAGGATTCAATCCACCACTGCAACTGGTCCGGAGTCCTCTGCCGTCCTTCCTCCCTTCCTCGTGCCGCAGCTGTCATCGCCATTACTCTGCCTGGAATGGAGCTACAGGGTCAAATATCTCCTTCCCTTGCGAACCTGTCTTCCCTCCAGGTTCTTGACTTGTCTTCAAATGCTTTCACCGGCTACATTCCGCCTCAGCTTCGATTCTGCACCCAGCTCACCAACCTCACTTTCTTCAACAACTCTCTCTCGGGCCCTATTCCTTCCGAATTCGGGGCCCTGAGAAGCCTGCTTTCCTTAGATGTTGGTGGTAACTATCTCAATGGAACCATTCCTGAGACCCTCTCTAACTGTACTTCCCTGTCAGATTTTACTGCTTTCTTCAACAACCTCACAGGATCAATACCTGAAAGCATAGGGAATCTAGTAAACCTCCGCGCCTTTATAGTATCTGCCAACTTCTTGGTCGGTTCGGTTCCAAGTTCTATAGGCAAGCTAGAGAATTTAGAGGTTCTGGACCTGAGTGCGAATGGGTTAACCGGAACCATACCTCCACAAGTAGGGAACCTGTCCAACTTACAGTACTTGTTATTGTTTCAGAATTCGTTCGAAGGGTCTATCCCTTCTGAATTGGGTCGTTGTACCAGTCTCATCAATCTCGAACTATATCTCAATAATTTCACTGGACCAATTCCCTCAGAGCTAGGAAACTTGAGCCAGTTGGAAACCTTGAGGATGTACGGAAACAGGTTGAACGGTTCGATCCCAGTGTCCTTGTCAGGGTTGAAGTCGTTGAACCGTTTAGGGCTGTCTGAGAACCAATTGAGTGGTGCAATTCCCAGTGGGCTCGGATCTATGGAGTCATTGCAGGTGTTGACCCTGCATTCCAACAAGCTCACTGGGAAAATTCCAACTTCAGTCACAAACCTTTCAAGCTTAACCTACTTGTCCATAGGCTTCAATTTCCTCACTGGGGAACTTCCATCAAATATAGGAGCACTATCAAACTTGAGAAACCTTAGTGCCAATGACAACCTTCTTCAGGGATCCATTCCACCACAAATCACCTATTGTACTCAACTTCTTGCCATAGATTTGACTTACAATAGAATCGTTGGGAAGATTCCGAAGGGAATAGGGAGATTGGAGAATCTGACTTTGCTTTCTCTAGGGGGGAATCAAATGTCAGGGGAAATACCTGATGACCTTTATAACTGTGTTTACCTTGAATCCTTGACCATCGGATATAACAATTTTACCGGATTTCTAAAACCCGGCATTGGCAAACTATACAACCTGAAGAGATTACATCTTCGCTTCAATTCTCTTCAAGGGCCAATACCACCAGAGATTGGCAATTTAACCGCACTGGTTAGCTTGTTGCTGTCTGCAAATAACTTTACAGGCCAAATTCCACCAGAGTTGTCCATGCTTTCCAATCTTCAAGGGCTTAGCCTAGATAGCAATGCTCTGGAAGGCCAAATACCAGAGGCCCTGTTTGGACTGAAAAGTCTCACAGTTCTATTGTTGGGGGGAAACATGCTGACAGGACCCATTTCAGCTGCTATCTCAAACCTCTCAATGCTTTCAACCTTGGATCTGCATGGCAACATGCTCAACGGTTCATTACCAACCAGCATGGAGAGTCTCAGCACCATAACATCCATAGATCTCTCCCACAACAATCTAACAGGTCCCATTCCTGGACCAGTGGTTGCAGGGATGAAAAGCTTGCAGATTTATCTCAACTTTTCACAGAATAACTTCAATGGCGCAATTCCAAATGAGTTGGGAATGTTGCAAGCAGTGCAGGTCATTGATCTCTCCAACAACAATCTCTCTGGTAGCATCCCGAGTTCAATTAAGGGCTGCAGCAATTTGTTCTCTCTTGACCTGTCAGGGAATCAGTTATCAGGTACAATTCCAGGTGGTGCTTGGAGCGAGATGACTGTGCTTACAAGCTTAAACCTTTCGAGGAATGAGTTGGAGGGTGAAATACCTGGGAATCTAGCTGACTTGAAGCAACTGAAGACCTTGGATCTCTCCCGGAATCAGTTAAATGGCACAATTCCAGAGAGCCTTGCAAATATCACCACATTGAAGCATCTTAACCTGTCCTTCAATCGACTCGAAGGCCAAGTTCCAAAGTCAGGAGTTTTCATAGAAATGGATTCATCAAATTTGGATGGCAATCTTGCTCTCTGTGGAACCAAATCTGATGGACCATGCAGCAAGGGGAAAAGTTCACGCACCTTCCACAAAAAGACGATATGGATTCTTGTGGGACTTGGGGGAGTTTTCGTGCTTCTAGTGGTGTTAGTATTGGCTTATGTGCTCCTAAAAAAAGGTACCAAGGAGAATAAACCAGAAGCTGGCAGCATTTCAGCCGACCCGGATTTTTCTACTGCTCCCGGCAAACTTGCAAGGTTTGATGGTGTACAGCTGGAGAAGGCAACCGAATTCTTCAGTGAAGATAATATAATTGGTGCAAGCAGCTTAAGTACTGTGTACAAAGGTAACCTTGAAGATGGAAGTGTGGTAGCTGTAAAGAAACTCAACTTGGATCAGTTTTCAGCAGAATCTGACAAATGCTTCTACAGAGAAGCCAAGACCTTGAGCCAGTTGAGACACAGAAATCTGGTGAAGGTGCTCGGATATGCCTGGGAGAGCCCCAAGCTTAAAGCTTTAGTTCTGGAATACATGCCTAATGGGAGCTTGGATGGTATCATACACAACCCACAGGTGGTTGAGCAATCGAGGTGGACATTATCCGAGAGAATCGACGTCTGCATTTCAGTTGCAAGTGGATTGGAATATCTGCATAGTGATTATGACTTCCCTATAGTTCACTGTGACTTGAAGCCCTCAAACATACTGTTGGATGATGACTGGGTTGCCCATGTCAGCGACTTCGGTACAGCTCGGATCCTAGGTGTTCATCTCGAAGATATCGGGAATAACCCTAACTCATCATCAGCATTCCAAGGAACCATCGGCTATATGGCACCAGGTAACTTATGTTGCACCCTCCTCTTCTTGTTTAGCTATTCTGTTGCATATATATCCTAGAATTTTCTTACTGAAGACATTTTGACTCTGGATTTCTCTTGATCAGAATTTGCATACATGAGAAGAGTCACTACAAAGGTTGATGTCTTCAGTTTTGGGATTGTGGTGATGGAGCTACTCACGAAACGAAGGCCAACAGGACTCACAGACGAGCAAGGGCTACCTATCAGTCTGTCTCAACTAGTTCAGAAGGCGCTTGCTGTTATGAACAGCAATGGCATTGGTGAGATTTTAGACCCTGAGCTTAGTGGAGAAGCATCCAAGAAAGAAGAGCAACTGGAAAAGCTCTTGAAAATGGCCTTGTGTTGCACCAGACCAAACCCAGAGGATCGACCCAACATGAATGAGGTATTGGCTTCCTTAGAGAAGCTCAGAGAAGCATAAGAAAATATCAGGAGCCGTGTTAAGTTTTTGCATCTTCGTTGTAATGAATGGAGACAGTAAAATAAGAGAAGCAGCCACTTTCAACTTCAATGTTGCATTCTAAGAACCTCTCTAGTCCTTTTGAGGTGGATCAACCTTCAAATATTCATCAATGGCTGAAGGAAACTCCAAGCCATTCTCTGAGTTCAAAGCAGCCTTACCCAGAAGCAAAAGAGCCAACCTGAAGGGCTCCTTGTGGCCGTCCGCCGCTCCATCCCCCATATACCAATCGATCCATCCATCAAGTCTCCTAACTTCTTCTTCACTCTTAACCCCCAAATTCTTCTTGTAAAATCCATCCCGACGAATCCTTTTCTCCTCATCGTCAATTGCCCGCAAAGCGCTTCTTGCTCCGACATCCGACTCTGACAAACCCAACACCTGCATCATCACCTCGATATCATCCGCACCGCCTGATGAAACGCCGCCGTAGCCAACGCTCGAGCCTTCTCGTGTGTGGTTTTCACGGGGCGGCGACGAATGTGACGGAGATGGAAGAAAAGCCGATGGTGCCTCGCTGCTTTCTTGAAGATCCGCTGAGCTGCTGGCGGCGGCTGGGTGTGATTGGGCGTGGTGGATATAAATTGGCGTGCTTAGAGATTGAGTTGGGTCAATAGAGCCTCGGTCTCGCTTTTGTTTCTGCTCACTACTGCTTGCTTCAAGCTTCAGTCTTTTCTCAGCCTGCAAATAACATCCGTTGTAGAAGATGAAATTCAAGCACAATAGTAGATGGGAAATAAAAGAAATCCCGTCAAAAGACTTCTCCGGCCACTCTATCTTACCTGCCTGAGAGAGGAGAAGAAGAAATCGGAGTGCGCACCGGACGAAGATCTCATTGTTACTTACGTCAGAATTTCGCTTCCCGCCGTCGATGATGAACTTGGCGATTAGGAAGAAATTAAACTAGTGAGATAAAATCCGCTTGCGTCCTAGTTCTTGTCCGTCAAACTAAACGCTGTCGTATACCGGGCAGTGTTTGTTTTGTGGGAGATATCTTCTTCTCTCCCAATTATCCCAGTTAAATGTTCAACCAGCAAGCTTTTTCCGATTGGATTTGCGGTCCGATAAATAGCTGAAAATTCAGGGAAGCAGCAAAGTGAAAAGAAACAAATTTCCAGTCCTTCCATTGGTTTCCAACAAAAGATTACAAAGGATCATCGAACGCATCCCACCACGAAGACATACAAAAAAACCAATCTCACGAGTTCAATGGAACGGGGAAGAAACAGCACCGAAACCCAAATTTACAGATACAACCATTCAATTTCCCCCGCACTAAAACAAGCGCCGTTAAACGAAACCCCATATATCAATCAGCTCAACCATTCAATTTCCCAGATCGAAAGAGTCATTTCTCACTTTCCGGGGACGAAGTTGGTGGCGAAAGCCCAGGCGTTGTTGCTGACGGGATCGGCGATGTGGTCGGCCAAGTTCTCCAAGGGTCCCTTTCCGGTAACGATGGCCTGGACGAAGAATCCGAACATGGAGAACATAGCCAAGCGGCCGTTCTTGATCTCCTTCACCTTCAACTCGGCGAACGCCTCGGGGTCGTCGGCGAGGCCCAAGGGGTCGAAGCTGCCGCCGGGGTAGAGTGGGTCGACGACCTCACCGAGTGGCCCACCGGCAACACGGTAACCCTCGACGGCGCCCATGAGGATGACCTGGCAGGCCCAGATGGCCAAGATGCTCTGAGCGTGGATCAGGCTTGGGTTGCCCAAATAGTCAAGCCCACCTTCGCTGAAGATCTGGGCCCCGGCCTTGAACCACACGGCCTCACCGAACTTGACCCCGTTGCGGGCCAAAAGCTCGGGGAAGACGCAGCCCAAAGCTCCGAGCATGGCCCACCTGCAGTGGATCACTTCCAACTCCCTGTTCTTGGCGAATGTCTCTGGGTCGGCGGAGAGGCCGGCGGTGTCCCAGCCGTAGTCGCCGGGGAACTCGCCGGTGAGGTATGATGGGGCCTCGCCGGAGAATGGGCCCAAGTACTTGACGCGGTCTGGGCCGTACCATGGGCTTCCGGAGGAAACCTGCTTGACCTTGCCGGCGGTCTTCCTCATCACGATCCGGCCGCCGTCCATGAACTCGGAGGCGGAAGGGGAGAGCTTCACGGCCTTGCCGGCGAATGAGGGAGAGGAGAGAGCCATGGTTGCGGCGGCCATTTCGGAAATTGGAAAGGGGATGGAAAGCTCTTAAGATGTAATGAAAGAATGAGAAGACTGTGTTTGAAGAAGGAAGTGAGGAATTGTGATGCAGGGGAGGCAGGTATTTGTATAGGAAGGACTAGTTATCGGAAATCTGGGCAACGATAGAGAGGGGAAGTGTTGGAGAGAGGGAATCTTATCTTGAGGCTATCTATATCTGTGATCTCATTGGAGGGCAGAGATTTTGGGGGTTTGTCGTCGGTGCCCGACTTGGCATACGTCTAAGCCACAAGAGTTTCCGTTGTCTTTTTTCCCACGATTTTATGGGACATTTGTCACAAGAGTTTCCGTTGTCAAATTAGAAACTTTTCTACAGGCTCTTGTGTTGGGACTTGGGAGTTTATACGAATGCCGAGGGATGGGATTTGTGTGAAAAAGAAAGGGGAAATTGGGTGATGCGAATGCGATTAGAGGTTTTGGAGACAGAAGAGAAGTAACTAAGGAGAAGAGGAAGATTGAGGGAAGTAGAGGTGGCAAATGGATTGGATTGGTGGATCTATGGATCTAATGGATTGGTGGATTTATGGATTGGGTCAAGTGGATTGGTGGATTATCCATGAATCCAAATGACATCTTCAATCAAGGACCAATATGTAAAATGTAAAAAGTTTAGGTACTAAAATGTCATAATGAAAAATTTTAGGTACCAAAACGTAATTTTCCAATGATATTTTTCGTATAAAAATTTAAATTTTAGGTACCAAAATGTAAAAAATAAAAAATATAGGTACTAAATCGTAATTTGCCAATGATCCATGGATCCAATCCATGAATCCACCAATCCAATTGGATTTGGATCACATGGTTTGGATTTAAATGGTTTGGATTAGGTGGATATTTTTAATGGATTGATGGATTGGATTGGTGGATTGGATTGAAATTGCCACCTCTAGAGCCTAGAGGGAAGGGATCGGCTAGATCGAGTTAGGTTTAGGCAACTAATCATATGTAAATTCATAACGATCACTAAATCCTGTGGTGGGAAATGGTGTCATTCGTATCGGATCCGTTCATATATACGATTTACGATTTAAATCGAGATGTTAAAACACATATATGAACCAGACCACTAGGTTCGTCGAATGAATCTTGATGTATATTCAGTAAGAGATGTGATCCAATTTTTGTACGTATATCAAAATAAAAATAGTTATAGCATTGTTATCTAAATTATAATTTGAAATAAAATTATTTATTAACTTTTAACTTTTTGAGTATTCTTTGAGAAATCGTTGATGATAATTAAAAATGATTTTTCATAGAATACCATAATACAAGTAGAGCTTTTAGAACATAAATAGGAATTTTAATGATAAATATACATGTCTCGTATATATGAGAATACTGACCAATAACTAACACTAATATTAGTTAACATATAATATACGATTAGATCAACTATCACTAAACTAACACTAAATATTAGTTAACATATAATATACTGACCAATAACTAACACTAAATATTCAAGGGCATCATCATAATCACAATCAACTAATCATACACCACAAATTAATCATATAATATATGATTGGATCAACTAACAGACCTACGGTGGAGGCCTCTTAAATTCAAAGGCCCTCCCTAAACACCTCAGTGCCCGACCCTACATAGGTCATATACAGTACAGTTGAGACCATACAATGTTGATTTATATTGCAAGGATCTAGTTAGGAAGAGAAAACTTAAGAATTCCTAATGCGTTTACTGGCTTGTTGCCATACATATTTTACTAACTACTAATGGAAATAATAGAAATAACAAAAGCATTTCTTTCTCATTCATCATATTGCTTACCTTAATTCGTATGACATGTGAGACCCAAACAATTAAAATTAAGGATTTCATAATATACATTGAACTTGGGGTCGTTTGCTTGAGGGTTTTGGTGATGGATTTGGTCATGGAAATATATCCATCATGGACTTGAACCGAAATCCATCGTTTGCCTTGGGGAATTAGGGAGATGGAATTTGTGGGGCCCACCACTTTTGAGGTTCCAAATCCGTGGACCCCACGGACTTGGAAGTTCCACCTCTTGAGGTGGGATTTGGGTGATGGATTAAAATCCATGATGGTAAATTACCTTTCTACCCTTAATTATTTCTTTAATTACAAATTTGTCCTACTTTAATTCAATGGTCATGCAACTGTAAACATTTATAATTTCGTATTTTATAAAATTGAGAATTTATCATTTCATTTTGTAATATCGTATTTTATTTAAATATGAATGTATATGTGATTTGTTAGATTCACCTAGAAACACTTTATGCTCATCTTGTACATTATTATTTGATTGATTGTCGGATTCCACATCGGTGAGTTAGCAAGAAGATGATGAGTTGTAGCAATAAAGCGAGCAATTGACTGCAATTGATACATAATATTGCGTACATTATTAGATGAATTGTTTTTTTATGAAGTATTATTAGATGAATTTTTAATTAGTGCCAAGATGAATTGTTAATTAGTGTCAAATTGTAATACATTTCTATATTTGTAGTTGAATTATTAATCCATATAGTGGTAAAGAGTTTAGAATTTCTTTCTATGTTTTGGATTAGTTTTAAATGAAAGATTTGGATTATAATATAGAAATATAATTAAATAAGGGTCACTAGGTAATTTGTATTTAATATCCACAAATCTAATCAAACAAAGTCCATAATCAAATCCATCAAGCAAACAATAGACTTATTCAAATCCATAATGTCACCAAATCCATCATATCTCCATGGTTTTTTAAAACCCAGGTTTTACCAAAACCTTCATTTTTCAAATCCATGAAGCAAACGACCCGTTAGTTCGAATCCGTCCTATCAGGGTATCATCTACTCACCCACGTTTTGGTGGGTAATACCCGATTTGCAGTAGCGTGGGCCGTAAAGCATGATATGAGTACTATTTTTGATATACCCTGTTCCGCTTTGTTCTATACCCGTGCTACTTCAGTTTGTCTCAACATTTCTCCTGTTTTGACTTATCTTTAACTCATATTTTCACCCAATGATATTCTACATATGTGCTAGACTTTATCTTTCAACTATTTGAACTAAATTAGTCTACCTTTTACTGCTATTTTCATTTATGAACTAATTTCATTTTGTTTTATCACTAAAGATAAATGTTTTAGTCATATAATATATAAGAATGAGTCGACCAGCCTCTATCTATACACATGTGGGCATTACCCAACCTGACTCGCACTAAGTGCGAAGCGGAGATGGATAATTGAGATACAGGTCCTGCCCGCGCAATTGCCACACTTTATCCAATCTATTTGACTGTTCCTGATTTTCATTTCATTCATATAATGATCATACATTAATTGGTTATCATAATCAATTTTTCGGGTAAATGTCACATTTAGTCATTGAAATTACTAAATCATGTCATGTTTAGTCATTAGAAAAAATTAATATCAATTTTAGTCACTTGAATTATTGAAACATGTCACATTTAGTCACTCTCCCATTAGTTTCCATCCAATGGACGGAGGCTAAAAGAGAGTGACTAAATGTGATATGTTTCAGTAATTCGAGTGACATTGATAAAAAAAAAGTAATTCGAGTAACCAGAGTTGAACGGAGGCTAACATGAGAGTGACTAAATGTGACCTGTTTTAGTAATTC